TTTTCCAGTGCAAAATGGAGACGATAACAAAGCTGGGCGTGATATTCAAAGTACGGTCCTCTTTATCTATAAAATAAAAACATGAGGAACGGCTTTCTTGTTGTTTTCTTTGCTATCATCCATGATTTCCTTAAATATGCAAGTTTCGGGCCTATTTTTGCAAAGTTATCAATGCAGCTGCTCAAAACACACTGACACAGCAGAAATGGGTGAGGCAAATGGAGACCGGCTTCAAAATCGGTGTATGACATTTGCAACAGCATCTTGGAAATGAGGCCAATGTAAATTTGCACAAAAATATCAACCTCGGTTCCCAGGCTACTTTCTCACTTTCAAATGTTATATTTTTGATGGTGTCACCTTTGTTAGGAAGATTTTTGGTGTCTTTTCATTTACAATCTGCAATCTGCGGTCTGCATGTCTGCAGTCTGCAGTCTGCAAATGTCATACACCGCTTCAAAATATATTTTTGAAGGCTGCGATGATGGGTGAGGTCACGTATCGTGTAGCAAGAGTAACTAAGACATCTAAAAGGGAAATGCAGAAGGGAAGAAAACGGCTCCAGTACACAACAGTTGAGGATAGCATAATCCTCCAACAGAAACTGGCGAAAAGGTTCTTAACTTCATGAGTGAACATCGCTAGGTTCTTGGTAAAGAAGCTGGCAGCAAATATCAAGACCTTGAAGCAATCAAAGATAAAAAGGCACACGAGATAATCAGGAAACGTGTCTACTTCCTGCAGGAGAAGCAGTTCAAAGAAGACGCCAGGTTTGTATAGCATTTTATGGAAGAAATATGATCTTTTATGGCGGTGTTCAGTCTTGTTTTCAAAAGTAGCTTAGCATACAATTATTTTTTTCATTTTACATTATAGTCGACCGAAATCAGTAACAAAGTTCAATTTAATAATGTGCTTCCCTTTCTCACAACATTTCGCAAATCTTTTAAGAACAAAAGATGTGTCCTGAATTCTGCCTTTAACTTATGTAAAAAATCCGTTTGCGAATTATGACAGCAAATTCTTCCATCTAAAGTTATCCTACAGTAATCAATAATGTTTACGGTTTGGAACAAAATGCTTGTACCTTAAAACTTCCTGCGCTGGTGAACGTAAATTGTTAGGTTTTCCATGTAAGCAAAGCATCCAGTGGACTGTTACATGCATCCTTTTTTTACAAAAGATATGTTACTTCAAGGAAAAGACAGAGAGAAGTAACTGCCAGTCAGCTGGACAACGAGCTTAAAGCGGAGGGAGTTCTGTTAGTGCTGATTCTGACGTAATAGAAGGGGAGACCATGGAAATGACCGACGAATTTTCAAAAGAGACAAGAGATATCTCTTGTCAAGTGAACAGCCTGAGAAGAAAGGGGATCGATTAATCTGCAGGATGAAGATGATGAGCCGACTCAGGAACCAGAAGAAGTTCTGCATGCCCTAAGAGGAGCCTGAAAGAAAGAGAAACAAGACTCTGGGTATGTCTGAAATGTATGTAACGAGATTTGACATTTCCGGAAATGCTTGATGATGTGTTAAGGCAGTTGCCGTCTCTTATGGACACAGTGAACCAAGCTGCAACTGCTCATATCAGGGCCCTATCAAAATGGGAGAAAAAATGCAAGCTCAACGTCGCAAGCAGCAGTAGTGATTGATTTTTTTTTTGACACATTATAAAAGCTCATATAAATGTGCAGCATTTCGTTTGAACATTAAAATTATTTATACAGGAGTTTCTTTGCCTAAAACTTGTAAATTACTGACTTATTCTAGATGTTAATAATTATTTTTCTTACGCGGTTAATGGCACAAAGTACAATGAGACTTTTACAATACACAATAAATTTAACCAAGAACGAATGCATAAATGTCACAAGTCCAATGAGTGGAATTGAATGAGTAGCCACTAAACGAACATTTTGGGCTTCCAACTTTGCAGCCAGAGGGTATTGCATATCACTTCTTTATTTATTTCATCACTGAATTTTCAAACTGACGCGACAATAGTCTGCTCTCAGTCCACCTTTTCACTTAAAATCAGTCTAGTTCTTATCTCAGAACCCTGACTGCAAACTACGACGTTATGTTACAATAAGCGATTAGGATAAGACACCCTGAAAAAATAAGAGACTGCTCGCAGTCTTACATGAAAACACAAGAAAATCTGTCATCTGGTACTATCATGTGATAGTTTGTGGCGAAAGGTCTGCTGTCTCTGTTGTGTTCTGCTTTGCCAGGAATTCAGGACCAGAGGAAACCATAGTTAGAAGGGCAGATTGGTTATGAAAACCGAAAAGCATCAAAATTAAAAACAACGGTGCTGTAGTTTTTGGAAGCTCCCTGACGGTGCACAATCCTTTGTCTTTTGTCCACAAACTGTGACTGAATAAATTAATGCATCGTTTCTTTTCATTTGGCCAGTGAGTTCAAAATAATAGGAATGTTACTGAACAATGTGTGTGGTCAGATCCAAAAAAGCTAACAAAAACATATAGTTGTAAACAAGTCTAACGGGTTTCATAATCATTTTGCTGACACAGAAATAGATTACCGGCTTTGTTCCAGCAAGCATCATAGGGGCGTTAGACAGGTACTTTTGACAATGACAGAAAACATATTTCCGAACAAAAGAGATTTCCGCTAAGTTGGAAAACCGTGTCGCCATACATCGGTAAATTTACTTCTTCAGTTTAACATAGATGCATTAAAAAAATCGGAATAACGATCGAGTTCAAAATCCTCTGCTTCCGCTTGCGAGATCAATACACAAGTTTTTCAGAGTTGTAGTTCCCACAGGCTTGACGCAAAAGTGCTTGAGAACCCACCGTACACTCTGGCGCAACTGTTATATGCCAAACTTAAGCTGCTAATATAAAAGAGAGTCAAACTGTAAACAAGTTGTCCTCGTACGGTGGCTATCGAAATAAATAGAATTGGAAAGTCAAAACAGATACAACAAAGATGGCGGATGTCCAACTGAAATGAAGACATGCAACCGAAAGTCATACAGCGATGGTCATGAGATCTGGAAATCAAGTGATAAGTGCTGAAATTGCGGAGGAGACTGCCCTCATCCTGGAGGAAAAAGGTCCTGTCCCGCTTATCAAGCCACTTGCTGGGACTCTGGCAAGTGAAACCACTTCGAAGCAGTACGTAGATTCAAAGGAAAAGGGAATAGCCAAAACAAATGCCGTCTGACAGTGAACAAAGTGGGCGAGGAAGAATCAAGTGACAAAGTTGAAGTATACACGTTATCTCTAAGCAGGAATACCCTGAAGAATCAACTCCTCTTCAAGATCAACTGTCATGCTGCTGCACAGAAGCGTCCCATTCCATGTTGGTAAGCAGCTAGAGGAGCAGCTACAACACGACAAAGAATTAGGGGTGATAGAGCCTATTGAAGGCCCTACACTTTGCGTGTCCCCAGTCATGGTTGCATCTAAACCGAAATCACCAGGCAAGGTACACGTGTGTGGGTAGACATATGCCAGGTGAACAAGGCGATCAAACATAAATGTCATGTCAACCCCACCATGACAGAGATGATCGGAGGCTACAACCAGCTTGAACTATTACCTGGATCAGGTACAACACCACCTTCGGCACTCACATGGGTCTCACGAGGTACAAATGTCTCACCTTTGGCATTTCAAGCGCAGCTGAGATCTTTAAGAGTGTAACCTGAGGGTATTAATGGCCCAATCAACATCAGTGACAACATACTAGTACAGAGCTTAAGCAGCGGACGTTCTCGAGGGCACAGACATCAGGAAGGTTGCCCCCATTCTGGATCGAGTACGGCGTAAGCAATGAATGGTTTTTGAGTCACGGACGTCTTGTCTGTGTTTTACCTTTGCTTTTTCAAAATTTCTTCACTCACAGCATTTCGAAATCCAGAAAGATCTTTGTCCCTGAAGGGGACTCGTACATTTTCTTTGTCCCATTCTCATATAAACATTTATTAACCGAGCTTGAAATGCCGTCTTGTAATATTTGATTCTGTAGACACAACAAATGAAATCAAGCAAAGAAAAGTTTAATTCCAAACATGATAGCAAAGTTATTAGCATTTTATCTGCAGTTTTATTTTCTACAAAGATTTAGTTTGCTATTCAGTTTCAGAGTCGATTGCACCAAATATCACAGGCGTGTAGCTAAAAAAGATTTTAAGGGTATATAAATTATAATCAACCTGATGCACAAAAACACGCATTCATAACATTTTAATTTACTGTTTTTCATTGTTAAAAAATCAAATCATGCAGTAAAAATTATCGGAACTTAAAGCTACATGAAAATAAAGCTCTCTTAAATAAGATGTCAGTTCACTTGATGATGAATTGCATATACTAAACCCGAGTAAATCTTACATAAATCCCGCAAATCTTGCCACCTTCGAGTTCTGCAACCATCTGGAGCTAGCTGGGTTAACCTGTCGAGTCCAAAAATAGAGTTAGAGACCATTAACCTGATGTTTTTCATCTTTGAAAACACAGAATGAATAGCACAAGGGTTTTTTCTTGGTTTTAGGCCAACAATTTACGAACAATTCTTACCAAAACATGAACTTCAGAGTACTAGAATCTCGTGCCCTATCTTGAACTTCAAAAGTGGCGTTCTGGCGTCAGCAACCTAACCTCACGGAAGTAAACACATGTGCACTATATTCACACTAGCGTGAGTGACTTCCAGTTGGCGTTCATGACCTCAAGAACAGCTGCTGCTTAAGCTCTCTAGTGTTTGGAAAGATGCTTGAAGAACACAACCTGAACCTCAAGGCCCTATTCCAGTGAGACAGACACATCAACAGCATCAGAGTACGCAGCCCTCTGGGGATGACAAACTACTATTTGTGGTTCATCCTTGACTACACTACCAAGACAGGGCCTCTGCGCAAGCTCACCCACAAGGACCCACCATAGTGTTGGACGGAAGGACATGACCACAGAGTCAGCCAACTAAAGAGAAGCACTTGTAAGTGCACCCGTCACTGCCTACTTTGAGCAACAGGAGGGTACAGAGATCTGTTGATGTAAGTCCAGTCAGCTTGGCAGCCATCCTCTCACAAGTGGACCCAAAAAAAGAGGAAAGTCATGTTAACACCTACACAAGTCGCGCTCTTACAGAAACCAAACAGCAGTACCGCCGAGAGGAAAGCCCTCACCAGGTTGGGCTTGTTAGGACAGGACAGCCAGTTAAGACAATTTAGCCTCCTCACCCGACAACACAAAATCTCGAGAATCTGTCTCGACCGACGCAGAAACAGGTGAAAAAGACACGATCTTAACCGTGCTAGATATGACAGCAAACATGGCAGAAAGGCTGGAAGAAATCCTTGAGCAATTAAGAAACTCAATATGATAGAATCATCCCTTAAAAGCATCGAGACAAAGCTCAACTACCTAGAAGGGTGTACAGCAGTATTAAAAAATTGCAGATAAACTAACGAGAAAGACAACAATGATCTTAAAGAAACTGGAAATTTTACCAGCTCACAGTTAAATCAAATATCGACCAAGCTAAAAAGTTACCAAGCCACAATCATAGATTTAACACAAAAGGCGGAGGCGAGTAGAGAGTTGTTAAACGACCTTATAGCAAAAAATCTCTACCTTGAGGCTTATTCCAGAAGCGAAAACATCAGTTTTCTGAACATAGGAGACAGCTCCTCCAATGAACCCGAAGATGTTGAAGAAACCCTAAGAGATCACTTAGAATACGAAGTGGGCTTCCACGACGCAAGAAGCCTAGAAATCCAAAGAGTTCATCAAAGTGGAAAAAGCAAGAATGGAAAGCCCTGGCCAACACTAGCCGTTTTCTGAGATACAAGGATGTCCAGAAAATATTTTCACTTGGGCACCAATTAAGAGAAACCGACTTCTAAATGTTCCATGACTATCTGCAGAAATTGTCAGACAACTTAAAGAGCAGATGAAGACCTTCAAAGAGCCCAGATGAAACAACATTCCTGCATCCTTCAGTCTATCGGAACCAGATAAATTATTTATTGGAGGTCGATTATAGCCTGTAGGAAAAAAACGGATCATTAATTCTGAAACTGTCTAGATTCATCAGCGTATTGCAGGAACTTCAGCTTTGTCTTTATGTTTTTTTTTTCAGCTGCTGCTCTAGCAAAAAGGGACATACGTCAGACAGCTCTTCCTTTATGCACCATAAAAATTTCTGTTGCTTTATAGCTAAGAACTTTATCTCGATATGCAGACCGAAAAAATGTTATCCAAATCACAACGATTTCTTGCTTCATCTGGGACATATATACCAATTAGAAAATAAGACACTAAACTGAGCGTTATAAAAAATGCAAACCTTTCTTTCCCTCGCTGAATCTTGTCTCCTAACTCCAAAAACATAAATTACTTTTAAGGACACCTACCGTGAATATTTATCACTTTCACTGCAAACAAAGCAAAAAAATGTAAACATTAAATATTAATTATACTAAGTGATACGTCGGAATTAGCACTGCTGTACTCTAGTGTACATTTGTAAGTACTGCCATGCAAGTGTTTATATTAATTAATTTATTTATTCCGTTCTTCTTTGTGTTTTACTTGGAATAAAATAAAAAAATTAAAAAGTTGACGGCACATCACGTCAATTCTATTTCCTCACTGGTCCATGTCACAAGGAAATCACGCGAGAGATATGCATGCGCACATTCGCATTCAGTTCCTTGTTAACCTTCAATAGAGAGTTTTAGATCGGAGTTTACCGCGAACCTCTAACCGCAGTTTGCGGTTACCCGTTTGCGGTTCGACGTTCAAACATAATTCGATTTAGATTGGCGGAGGATTAAAGAAGTGGATTCTGGTTTAATTTTCCATTTAGAAATAGAAGAAATATCAATCAGTGAAAATAAAAGAAATTTATGGTAAGACTGGGTTACTAGCGGCAAAGAGCTGTATATACTTACATTAGTTCTTCTTGCACTGAATTTACGGCCGCCATTTTGAATCAGCAGCCATGAATGGCACTTGTTTCCAAGATCCAATAGGATTTATCAAATTTAGCATTTCGCCCGAATTTGTGCCTCTGTTAATGGATAAAGACTTGCTCCACAAGATTTTTGTATCATTACGTGAGATAAAACAAGAATTATACGCTAAAAGCTTTTAGGTAAATGACCTACGTGAAAACCTACTTCTCCACGTTGAAAACGCACGTTGTAAACCTCAAACGTGACGTGAAAGACTTGTCACGTGACCTCCAGCGGTTAGAGGTTCGCGGTAAACTCGGATCTAAAACTCTCTAATGTGTTTGGGGCTACGTCGACCACTTTCACTACTTTTAGCGAAATTTTTTCCTGGAATCTTACGTAAAACAAACTGTCTGTACTGGAGCCATTAGCTGCTATAGACTACTACTAAACTTGGACCTGACAGATTCATCCAGAATCCAGAATTCAGGGTGACTGCAAGTCTATACCATCCTTGAAAATGGCGGGAAAACACTCATCGGACAACTTGAGTCCGGACAAAGCTGGATTCAAGGCAGAATTGGAAAGAGAAGGTGAAGACACACTCCTTTGTGACGATGATGTGAACAACAACTGAGTCCTAAGGACAATTCCTGTCGCTTCAGCAAAAGCCAATGACTTGTTGGAATCGACACTGTTCAAGCTTAATGACAACATGTTGTCAGTATCTCAGGCTATGAGCTTGATAAAGAAACCCTTGCTCGATTTGTTGATGGCCAGAGACACTGGAAAAGGCCAAGAGTTGATGAATTGTCTGACTCAGACACCGACTCGAATAATGACGCTTCTGAATCAGACAGGGACACGCGGCTTTAAAAAAGGAGAGCAGAGTAACCCGACATGGGAGCTGAAAGATGATTTGCTCAACACGATAGCAAACGATCTCAATGCTGACGAGTAAACCAACCCAGATGTTTCGGAAAAGCTCGCCAAACTTGTCAAAAACAGATGGTCCAATGGACACTTTTAATGTACAGTGGTCACAATGTTTTTTATGCTCCCCCCCCCCTTTTAGTGTGATCACGAGAACCCTTCAGAAAATACAGCAGGATCAAGCGACAGGCTTGTTGGTTGCGAACTTTTGGACGACTCAAACATGTTGGCCACCTCTGACAAGGATGCTAATACATTTAAGCACCTCTATTACTACCGAAAAGAAAGAACACACTGTACCTTCCTCAGGACCCCAGTGCGGTACACCCACTGCACAGTCAGATGTCTCTACTCCTCCGCCACTTGTCCGGCAACATTTGCAGAGTTAAGGAATTTCATAATCAGCTTCTGACATTATCATGTAGTCCTGGCGGACCAGCACAGGAGTCCAATACAGCTCTTATAAATGGTTGGAATACTGTCATAAATGGCAAATTAATCCAGTTTCACCACCTGTGGCAAGCGGGCTCAACGTTCTTGTGGAGCTTTATCACAAGGGACTCAGTTACAGTGCGTTAAACACTGCAAGGAGTGCATTGGCCAGTGTCATTGTATTACAGGATAACCAGTCCTACCAGTCCTTTGGTAATCACCTGCTTGTTTCTCACTTTCTAAAGGAAAGATTTACGACAAGATCAGCGCTACCTAAATACAGAGAAGTATGGGATGTGAACACAGTTCTTGAACATTTAAAAACTTTACACCCTGCAGAGACTTTATCCTTAAAACTGTGGTCATTAAAAATAGTTATTTTGATGGCCGTATTGTCAGGCCAACGCTGCCAGACCATTCATGCTTTAACTTCAAAGGACATGAAAACCTCAAACAACAAAGTAATGTTTATTGTAAATGATTTATTAAAAACTAGTAAACCCGGTAAAGAATGTACTAAGTTAGAATTTCAGTCCTTCGATGAAGATCCTCGAAACTGTGTAGTGAGGTATCTCTCTGAACACCTGGGTATTCAGAGAGATACCAAAAACCTGAGGCATGATCATCATAAGTTACTTGTTAGTTCTCAGAAACCACACAGGCCAGTCTCCAAGGACACTGTTAGTAGATGGTTCAAGATGGGATTTAAACTTACTGGCATAGATAGTTCCACCTTTAGTGCCCACAGCACAAGAGCTGCATCAACCTCAGCTGCAAAAGCCCAGAAACTCTCAAATACCACCATCATGGCTACTGCTGGGTGGTCATCTGAAAACACCTTAACAAAATATTACAACAAAACAATTTCCAAAGCAACAGATAACTTTGGAAAACAACTAGTCAAGGCTTTGCAAAAAATACAGTTATTTTCTACTAAAAACCTTAACTAGAAACGCTACTTGATTAAAACAGTTGTTAGCGAGTATTACGGTTACAAGCGTCATTGTTCATGTTTACGACCAGATTGTTTATAAACACAATGTGTGACAATTAAAACTCTGGTTTGTTGTTGTCATATTTATGGTCAACTTATTCTTACGGTCACATGCTTTTAAGTCTCACGTGATTTCATTGTGACATGGACTGGTGACGAAATAGAATTGAGAAATTGAACGAGACTTACCTGTAGGTTGAAGTTTGTTGAGATTCTATGAGTCACTGGTCTGGAACAAGGGAGTCACGTGCCCACCCTGTCATAAACACGTATTACGATACATGGTGGTATCAAGGGAACGGGTTATTACATGCCCTACCCTATTTCTTTTTTATGTGACTGGTACTTTAAGTCTGAACATGAAGGTGCGTACGCATATCTCTCACGTGACTCCCTTGTTGCAGACTGGTGACTCATAGAATCTCAATCAAACTTCAACTCACAGGAAAGTCTCGTTTAATTTCTCAGTTAAAAGGCATATGTGGCAAATTAAAGGAGTTAAACACTGCAATATCAAAAAAAAGACTACAGAACTCTGCTGCTAGGCTAGTCACAACAACAAAGACTAGTGAACATATCTTACCCTTGTCCTACAGTCTTTAGATGGGCTACCAGTTGAGCAGAGGATAATTTGCAAACTTCTTCTTTTCACCTTAAAGTTGTTAACAGTAGTCTCACACCACAATATCTACATACTCTGTTAACACCATGCGCTCCGACAAGGTAACTTAGATCGGCCTTTAAAAACCTTCTCGGCATTCCTAAATCTAACCTTGGTACATATTGAGATGAAGCCTTTTCAATTGCCGCACTGCGGTTGTGGGATCAACTACCAAGCTATATCCAAAACCAGGTTCTAATTTAAAACTTTCATGTTCAAACGGGCATTATGTTTGTTACCTGTTATGGACTACAAAACGAGTTGTTATTTTATTGTTATTATTATAATAATTTTTTTAACAGAGCTGCGACCCTGTGAACGAGGTTACACAATGGCTTTCCACTGAAATATATTTTCAAATCATTGGCTGATTTTCTGATTGGCTGTTCAAAACAATGTCATAGCTGAATGGACTAATCAGTGCAATTGACATCGACAGCTTATGCAAAGCTATTTGCTTGGCGCTTAGCACTTAAAAATTCACTGGGCTTTGATGACCTTTGTATCTGTTAAACGTTGCAAATTGATATTTCATTCAGGGCAATAGATTTAATTCTTATCATACTGTTGGGCAACTTTCGGTTGGTATACTGTCGGCCAACAGTTTATCGACGGTCAGCTGACAGACTTTTAGGGGAGCTCTTCTTCGCTTTTACCGAAAAAAGTGGTGAGAATTCACTGGAATTTACTCAGACCAAGCATTTGAATCAAACAACAGACCCCTCATTAACTCAACGAAAATGACATTAAAGATCGACTCACGGATGTTCAAGAGCTTCTTGTGAACTCTTGCAAGACCAACTTTGCCTACACGTAGAAGTTAATTTATAGAGAAAAAGGAAGGCACATATGTTCAAAAATTGTACGTGCCAGCAAGTTGTAAAGGTAAAGAACAGTGCAGATAAACAATGCTCACCTTGATCATAAGAACTTTTGACAGCATTTGCAAGAAGCAAAAAAAACTTCCTCATTCACGATGAATTGACAGATGAATAGCCTCTCCAACAGAGAGTCTGGTAACGGCGCAGTCCCTGGCGAATGTGTAGGAGCTTTTGACAAACTCAAATCGAAGGTGCACGCTTGCAAGCCAAAACAAAATGTCAGATTGCGTGGATCATGAGACTGAATTTCTATTTACCGAAGACGACTTATATTATAGGTTTGATTAGAATGTGTACAATAACAATGAATGTGTTTTAATACAACCGTGAGTGCGAGTGACAAGATTTCTTTTTTGAATAAATTTACACACGTAGCCTGGAACTATGGTGGAAGACCACAGACCAGTCAATAATACTACATCCCCCTCCTTTTGAGGAAAAGATAGAAAACTAGATGCTTAACTAATGTTCAGCTGGTCAAGCTCCTATTAAAGAAAGAAAACTAAACAATGCATGCAATCATAACTTAAGCCTCTCTGGAGCTTAAACTCTCCTAGTTGATCTGCACAGAGGAGGAGGAACTGCAACAGGAAAAGGGTCTGTTTCACCAGCAGGAGAACAGGCAACACTAGCACTGACAGGTGACGTAGAGGAACTGCTGGTCATGAGCTCTTCAGAACGTGAGTCACCAATTGGAATATCCTCAGGGACTTCATTTGAAGGAACTGGCAGGTCAAAGGGCTTAGCAGTCCTTCATAGGTGCTGACAGTTTCTTCAGAGTAGCCCACCAGATAAGGCTGCGGGGGGGGCATCATCCACACAGTGAACCACACCTAGTACCCATGGCAATTAAGACTTAACATAAAAAAACAAAAAATAACACGAAACAATTAAAAATATACGAAGGCATCAAGATCCTTATTGTAGTTCATGCATTTTCCTTTAATGAATGGAACCTTCGCAAGTGCCGCTTTGTTGGTAGGTGTTTTAAGAACTCTTTTGAATGTACCAATGTTCTCACATTCTTGGGCAGTCTTATCTAAACAATTCCAGACAACAGGACCCCTGAATAATAGACTGTCTCTACCTAATTTCAAGTTTTACCTAGGTACTTCCATTAACTTCCCTTTGCGTCTTGAGTCAGCATTTTTTCATGTTGAAACAGCCTCTTTTGCCCGTGTTTTGCCTTAAACATGTCAACAACTAATCTTCGTTTATAAATATAGCCAAGACTTTGCAAGTGAACACGCTGAAATATGTCACAATCCACAGTATTCTTAGGTAAGCTACGTATTATTTTAGCTGCTGTTAGGTGCAATGGTTTAATTTCCATCACAGAACAGGGCCTATAGATCTGCCTCGCTAGTTCATGCGAATAAGCCGGCAAAAAAGTGTATAGAGCGTGCGTCACTACATACAAGGATGTCAATCATCATGTCAATCATATGTTTATATTTGCATAGCAATTGTTCCTAAGTTCTCCATCAAATTTGCGGTCAAATCTTGACGAACAATGGTCGTAATGCTGCGGAAGTCGCGGCTAACTGCTTTTGTTTAAACTCTTTGCACCTAGACATTAAATAATTACCTGGTGTACAAAGCTGTAATAGAAACGTATGCTATCGATATGAATAAAAGTTAAAAGTTTTAAAGTGTAATAGTTGACCACGAAACAAGGCCGAAAAGAACTCAAAAATAGAAACAGTTGACATATAATCATTGGCCGAGTCGTTTGAGTCGGAAGCTGCGTTTGGTTGCTATATACGCTCCCAAAATTCACTGAAAGTAGCCGATGGAAACTAGCAACTAACCATTTAGCTAAATTTGTAAAACGGGTATTTAAACTCTTTTAAATAACGATACCACATCTCAGTGGAATACAGTAGGGACTTTAAGATACAACGACGTGGACATGACAAAAAGCTGCCCGAAATAAAAATAACCAAAATGACTACCACTGCACAAGATTGTAACATAAACAAGCCGCGTCCCTGCTCAAGCCGAACGTGCTGAAGACCATTTTGACGCTGTTGACAAACTGTTAGTATTTCGACCTATTTTGACTTATTTAAGACAGTGAATTGGCACTTTTTCTTTTTATATTGAAAGCTTCATTATCTCGGCTGCATTCGTAATGTTTTTTTTTTTGGCGTTTCCTTTCAGGCTCAGTTGCAAACAGTAAACACAAGAAACATCAGTTGCAATGGCCTCGAATTCCAAACTGCAGAGAGTAGATTTTTGAATTCTCTGTTCAGTGAATTACGCCTAAAGAAACAAAACGATTTGTTGTATAAAAGCAATATTGTTCCAGATTATTTCCTTCTTGTCGAAGATTTTCCCAGCATGTTTAAATTTACTTACAGATCTTGGTTACTCGCACTACCCTTCATTTTGGAGGAATTTAATTCACACACTATTTCCCAACGAAATTGTGTGAGCTAACAGAAACATGTAAACAACTATGTTTGCCAAATGTGCCTCTGATGGCAAAAAGGTTTGCTTTATTAAGCAGTCCCTACAGAGTACCGCATTTATAACTGTACACGCACTCGGCTTGGCCAGCCAACGTCCAAGACTTTGCAGCTGTATATGATATATTCCATATTCCATTTTTTAGAAGACTGCTGAAGCCCAAAGATGTTCAACCAAATGTTAAAACAACAACAGCAACATCATAAGCAAATGCATGATCTACAATCCTTACTAATGCAGCAGCAGCAGCTGCAAACCACAGCAATGATGAAGATTATTGAAACACTAGTTCTGAAGTAAACAAACTCGTTTTTTTTTTAATTTCTTGCAGTGCTTCAGGTCTCGGTTTACTTTGTTGTTATATAAACTTGAACTAAGTTGGCCTGGACTTCAATCCGGCAAAAGACAATCAGTACTGTAACCATGTTATATTTTCAATGACTCGACTTTGGACTTCATTTCAACGTTTTTAGGAGGTTAAAAATTTACACTTTTCATGATTGGATTAAAATTGACGCTGACAGCCCTAATAAAGCCAAGTTATTCGTTGTGTTTTATTTTATTTGACATTAATTTACTTTTCTTGGTATCTTCCCATATAAACGTAGAACAATTTTGGGGTCTTATGTTGGGTGGTTGTAACACAGCATGATCACGAAAATAATCCTCTAGAGAAGGAGGATCTAGGTCAAAAAATTTACCGCACAAACATGTCAAAACATTTTGAAGGATTGCACAGACAATGTACATTTTGCCTACTTGGCTTAGCCCTACTGTTAAATTCCTTTTGAAATCAAGAAATTGGAAATAAGAACTGCACTCATGGAACCGTTGTAAGCTTGCTGTTGGGGAGTCAGTACTCACTGTCGGAAACGTCCCTGGAGATGCATCCAAAGGGGGTATGCTGGATCCCCGTATATACACATCGCTTGGCCAGTTGTTGAGACAGCATGTGCCAGGAGACTGTTGTAAAGGCCTGACTCTACCAACATTCGTGTCATGCTTCCTACCTTCTGTTTAGACAAGATAAGAAACTTACGTTAATAAATAGGAAGCAGTGTTGATATGCTATCCATGCAGGTTACTTCTTTACTGACGGAGAGTGGTAAGAGAAAATAGGCTGGTTGGGGGTGAGGGTGAGGGTGGTCAATGGAAAACCCCGTGAAATTCGAATTTGCTTCTCTCACAATTGTTTAAACCCTTTTTTCTTATAATAAACATAGTAATTGTGAGGAGACTTAGAAAGAGTAAGTAATGAAAGCAACTTTAGACCTTCATGTAGGGGCTTCGTTTGTAGGGTAACTGAAGTGGAGTCTTGCAAGCCAAAATATTATTCTTAGTTTGTTAGCAGTGTGGCTTAACTACTGGACCATACAAGTGCGCAATTAACCCACTTGGTAGGACCAAGGACTGAAACTTCAATCCATGTACGCATTTGTGTCCATTGTAGAGTAGTCGCGGGTTTTCCCCAGGTCGAGTAATTGGGTGCACAGTTCCATCTACGAAACCAAAGCAATTGCTTAGTGGCGCTCCTTTGTTGAAAACAACCTCCGCATACTTTTCCAGCTCCAGTGGATTTAAAATGGTTTGGTTCCACTGCGTGATTCTGTGGCCATGACGTGAATAAATCCAGTCTGTTATAGTGTTGCTTATCATACAAAGTTCTGGTACCAGCCGTCCAAAAATAGGTATCATGTCAGAGTATCGACAAGGAAGGGCATATTGCTTTAAAAGCGTACAAAGCCCTTTTGTTCCCTCGCTAACCGTTCCCTGGTCGCATACAAAGAATTGCAGAATTTGAAGAACATCTACCCGACGAATGTGCTGCTTTTCAACCCTGAAGTTCGCCCTACAGTCAGCTTCACTGTGGCTCTTCAAATTGAACTGTGAGTAGTTGTCGTAAGGGAAATCTAAGTTGTTGAACTCTTTTCTTCGAAAAACAAAGAAAATTCCTCATCTGTAATGATACCACAGGCATAGCTAGCGAGCAATATTTCTCGGGTTTCGTTAAAAGTTGCAATTTGCACTAAAAGCACTATTATAATTTGTTTCTGTTACCTCGGAGAGAAAACAAATTCGCTACTTTTCTTTTCTATCAATAGGTGGCTGTGTTGCTGACTCCCGCCATCTTAACTTATTTCTCCCACCACAAACTTGGCATCCTCAACATAGGCCCCATGCGGCTACGGGCGTTTTTTATGACGTCCGTATTCTTGTCTCTTAAATTCCCTAATCACAGTCCACGAAGTTGTTGTTTCATTTACTACCTGCGCTCTAACAATTGTGACCTTCTCCAGGAAAACGTACACTAACGGTTTTCCGTTTAACGGGTAAAAACTAACGGCTAACGAACGGATTGTTAACGGCTTTTCTAACGCCTTTAACGGGTTGGCTAACGGTTTGAACGGGTAGGCGAAAAAATCTAACGACCTACAAAAGCGTTCGAACGGATTTGCTTTGATTTTCCCAACAACTGTTTTGAACGTTTCTAACGGGGGGACTAACGGCTTCAAGAAACAATCATCTAACGGTCTAAGAGAACGTTTGATAAAAATCAAACGTTTCGAGTGATAACAGCTCAGAGAAAAGAGTTTCAACGACTATAAAACATTATGCGCGATGAAATCAGTTGTACCTGCCTGACATTTCAAATCATCTGAGTCGTCAATAAACTCGGGAGACAGACAACACATAAAATTCAGTTAAAAACCAATCTTTAAAATTCGTTTATTACTCACCAACGTTCGTCCAAGTCATGGACAAAAAGTCGCAATGTTACTTCCGTTTCTCGGGTTATTATTTTACTGCATGTAGTACGCAAACATTCACGTGCACGAGTTCGAAGTTTTCGCTCCAGTCTCGCGCTGTGGCCGTTTTGAAAATAAGCAAGAGCTTTTCTAGAAAGTAAATTATAAAAATTGATACATTTTCCCTGTTCTTGATCATATCTTGACTAAAAAAGCGAAAGCAATTGTCTCTTCTACCTTTTCCACAGCCTGCAAGAACAAAGGGCAGAATTCAATTTAAACCAGTATCAACTTGATTGATAGCCTGCGTCACAGACCATCAAAACAGCCTGGAACTACTAATGGTCTAGACGATACGTGGGCCGGCTGCAACGCAGCCTCAATTGATAAATTGTGAACATGGAATCTTGACTTACGAACTCGAAAGTTGAAAAAACTCGAATGTTTAAGTGCGAAATAGAATATTAAAAATTGTAAACTTGATTTGGGGAGAACTACACACTCACCTTGAATAACCTTTTGTCCCTTTCTTGCAGTTCCCTCTTCAGTAGGCTAAGTTCGTCAGATTGTTGCAGTGTCGGCGAAGTCTGGGTAGCCACGTTGATCGCGAGCGTTTTGGCACCTGGAGTTTGTGTGGCGACGTTGTCATTCCTTTTTGTCGGAGTGTTCGTGGTCAGGCTCTCGACATCGGCAGTCTTGGGTTTCTTTGCGGCATGATTAACACTCCAAATCGCCTCTCGTTTCTGCTGTTCCGCCAAGAATAAAGCATATGGGTCTGTGACAGGCACATTCACCTCTGTCTGGGTTGGCATTTGACTAACAGGATTCTGCTAGTTGTTCTGCTGGGAATGTTTGTTCACGATTGTTTGTCCTGCGTAAATAAAAGAACATGCCATTAGAACTGCCTCAAAGAAAGGGAATGTGGTTCTCAGTTAATTGATCGAAGTAAGCGGTGACTTTTAAGAGTATTTACCTTTCTTTGATTTTCTGGATTCCCATTTTTCGCATACTTCGGCGTCATACCATCGCGAACCAAACTTCATTTTGACAGCGTCTCCAGGTTCGAGAGCAGACAGTTCTTTTCCGTTACCGTCATTTTCATTCAGTTTCAAGTCTCTTCTTTCAGGCCAGTGCGGTCGGTCTCTCCATTGGCAATTAGTTTTCCAAATCACTTTAACTTTGTCGTTAAGAGACATGTTTTTTGATGATCAACTGATAAAGTGTTTGTAGTGACTGTTGAATTGAATTGGTGATGAGTTCGTAATATATGAAGCCATTGGACCTCTGAGGGAACAGATGCAAAATTTTTTTTTCTACTTTATCTAGGATCGAAATGCACCAATCAACAAGAACTAGCGCGCGTCTAGAATATTAATGAGTTACCAATCATTACGTTTGAGCACTAACAGTAGTAACAGTCGGAGAGTCTTCTAGAAGAAACAACTTAATGATAAATAAAAAACAACACATTTTACAACAAAATAAGATATCAACAAGAAAAGAGCGCGATGTTGTGTTTCGTTAAGAGAAAATGATTTAATGATATGAAAACTTTATTACCGTGTCATGATTATCACTGAGATGTTGGAAGATCGCAGGATCTGAAACGCCTGCTGTTGTTGTTACTTTTAACCTGAAAACTAGCACGTGTTTCAAAACGGATTTACCAGCTGTTAATTACTATAGTCGCAGCCTTTACGCGCTATAGTTTTTAACACACAAACTTTATTCTAGAACTTCTACAACTGGTGCAGGGAAACAAGTGAACCGATGTGAAGTATAACGAAGTACAGCGAAGTATAGCGAAGTATAGCGAAGTATAGCGGTACTGAAAAATAACAATTAAACAAATACAAAGTCAAGATAAAACAACCTACAAACTGAACGAAAGCAATAAGGCAATCTAGAAATGCGAATGAAACAAACGAGATACTTACAAGACGATAGCGAGATAAGGACGAAAAACTAGGACGAGCAAAACCCAAACATTAAACTGTAAACCGGACCAAGCGCAGCTAAACGAAGAACTGACGCGAAAAATTACAATAAAAGCTAAATATACGATATGCAGAAAAATCCTAACACGAAGGACAAAGCTACGCGAACAATGAAAAACTAATTAACCAAACAACAGCACTAAAGGCGCGAACACGAAAATAACTAAGAACGCGGCGAACATAAAAATACTATAAAGGTAACGGAAAACATTCCTGGCGCTTACAATTACCATTGACACGTAAGCATGGTAAGATATCCGCGCGCAGTTAGGGAAGGAAAACTTGGCCAATGTGGTTTTGACGCGCATTATGAAAAAGTGTGAAAGGCTTGCTTGTCTTCAAAATTTAAGTAAGTTTCTTCTTTGTAGTGTTAGTAATGATGCATAAAGCATGCCTTTTTCGCTGCGCTGGATGCTTATTTTGCCTGTATAACTGGCACTTTTGTTTATAGTGACCGCGCATTCAAACGGCGAGCTTAAAACAAAACCGCCAGCTTCGCAGGCTAACAGTAATTAAAATGGGAATATCAAAATGACTTTCTTATACCTTGTCTATACCTTTTATTCCAAGTATTCGAAAGATCACGCTTACAAACAAACTTTGAAAAAACACTAAAACGAGTTGTCCTGTGCTATTTACAAAAATATTTATGTCACTGTCCATTATATAGTCTATGGCGCAGGAGCCACAAGATCTTCTGTTCCACTTTTACAATATTGCAGGATTTCATGAAATAAGTACCTTTTCCTCTCATCGCTCAAACCTTCTGGCTTAATTTGACTCGGAAGTATGCCTTGTTGCGGTAAATTCGAAGAATCTTTCAGCAACATGAAAGACTGTTTGGCGGAGAAGCTGTTCTCTTTAAAAAAGACCATTCCTGGTTCGTCCTTGGAAAAACGGAAGTGATGATATTTCTTAATGTTTGGTATTTTTTTAAAATATTGTCCAAGAAGTAATGTCCAGTCATAAACTGGTACGATGACTCTGTTGTCGCGAGTTCCGACCAACTGGGCTTTGTTCACTCCAGTCGTGCTTGATGCCTCAACCATCCCGGCAAGTTCGTAAAGTGAGGAAACAAAGTTTACTTCGTAACACTTTTTGATTATCCCAAAGCAGCGATCAGGTGCAAACTTTGTGTGACCAGCAATAAGAAAAGAGTAACTGATATGTTTATGCAGTTCTGTTATTATTCTCCAAGCAAGGTACCATAAGAAAGTGTTGTTTTTGTTTTGTCCCGAGCAATTGTCTGCGTGAAGGTGAGCGTGCGTTTCTCCCAGCCCGTGGTTTTCAAAGTAATGGTGCACGTAACTAATAGTTGAATTTGCGCCTTTTCCCACGTTTGAGGCCTCGTGAATTAAGTAGTTGACCTGTCTAGGTATGGCTTCGCAGATGATTCCAAAAATACCACACTTCCTTGGCGTCTTGAAATAAATAGGTCCTGGCTGCATCGGGTTGCTGGGAATGTGCACTTGTTGCGCGTAATCAAACGAATAATGCATTGTCCCACGGAATGAACATGGTTCGTGTGGTGCACTCAAGTCAGTAGTGTCTTCGATTTCTTTAAAATTGATCTCTGCCTCCTTGCATGTCTCCTTATACACATTTCTTTCAGCCTGCGCCTGGTCTAAATGTTCTTGCTGTTTTTGGACGCATTCTGATTTTTCGTGAACAGGAAGATTCGCAGATCGAAGCAGCTTGGTTGTATTTTGCTGGCAAGTCTCGCATAAATCAGTCATTGGTTTTGCGACCACAACACTTGGATGGAATTGTTCCCAAAGTTTAACAAACTTCGGATAGCTCACGGCCTGCTTTCCGGCAGCTTTGCAAGAGGCTTCAAAGCTGCGCCAAACACCCATCTTTGTCTCGTGTGAAGGCAAGAGCTTAATGTCTTCGTCTTTATACCCCGGAATCCTCCCAGGAAGTGATACCGCGTGGTCCTTTGCATAGTTTGAAAGGGAAGCATTGACATCTTCTACCACAGTGTGAGAAAGAGTGTTCGGGGGAAGCCGCTTTGTGTTTCCATGGGTTCTAGATAAAAGGCTGTTGCTCTCTTAATGTTCCTTCAGCCGGCGAAAGCGGGAGTAGCTTAAACCATAGAGTGTAAGAAACATTTCTCGACAAATCGGCTTTGACTGGAAGAGGAAATTACAGCGAGGGCTTCTGCTCCTTTTCTCTCCGACATTTTCGAAACGGGTTACAGCTTGTATGTTTGCTAAGATGACCAGGTCGAGTTCTTTGCTGGACAGTTCGAGGCAGTTGTTTAAATTTGCCATGACTTCTTCTTCCGTAAACTGCGATGAGCAGGGGCCATCCTTTGGACCACGTGAGCATTTGCAACCACTTTCAAGAAATTTCTTTACACTGTCAACTATACCATCCGCACTTGCGTTTTCTGTAAATTCCATAGCATGTTCTTCTTTCTCCATTTTCGACGTTCTAGTGACTGCTTGTCTAATGATTGTAAGGATTTGAGCCTTCAAGCAAAGGTTACCATAACAATGCATCACGCGGACTGTCCTGTTACGAATAGTGTGGCTTTCGCTTGCTTTCGCTCGCTTTCGCTAAGAATAACATCCTATTCTTTTATTTATTTTTTTCATAAAAAGACAATAGACGCGGTAATCAGAATTATCGGCTTTTATCCTATAACTTGAAGATTCGTACGCTCAACTGCAATTTATTCGACATGATAGTTATCTTCGTGAAAATGTGTAAACTGAGATCGTGTGAAGTGTCCAACAGAAGGAATGGTTTAAAGTTTTCGCTCCAGTCTCGCGCTGTGGCCGTTTTGAAAATAAGCAAGAGCTTTTCTAGAAAGTAAATTATAAAAATTGATACATTTTCCCTGTTCTTGATCATATCTTGACTAAAAAAGCGAATTTTTACCGCTACTTGGTTGATTGCTGCGTTTTAGTTCGATCGATTCTGACGATGTCGCCGTTCAAGTGCAGCATCGTCATAGCAACCACTTGCTCAGTCCCAGTCCTTTGATGTCATACAGGTATTCTCATTACAATGTATTTCCCACGTTTGCCCCACGGAACTTAAAAAACACAGACAAAAATTATCCACTTATTTTATTTATTGCTACGATACCTAACATTACAAGTCTGAGAGAAAATCTAATGGAAAACGAAAGTTCTAAACATCGAGGTATACATCAAACGAGAGAGCAAATATTTTATAAATACATATCAGACAAGGAAAGCGAATCTTTTTACATTTACATCAACCGAGAAAGCTGCATTTAACAATGGATCTAAACAAGAAAGCGAAATCTAATTGGGACGCAAATTTTCGATACCGATACGGCCGGAAATAGCAAATCTCTGTGCTCGACATTTGGCATTTATCTTGGTTTTCACGGTTCGCCAGCACTTGCCCTCATCCTCATCGGGTCCAACCCGAAACTTTGTGAAGACCAGAACTGAAACAAAAGCAAACAAAATATTTAATAAAATCTCTACCGAAAAATGCACTTATAAGCGGGTAAAGCGCTTCGAACAAACTAAATAATATCAATAATAAATAATGATTTGGAGGTAGTGCATCCACAAAGTGGTTCATCGTAGGAGAAAACCGGAGTACCCGGAGAAAAACCTCTCGGAGCAAGAGAGAGAACCAACAACAAACTCAAACCACATATGGCGGAAGTTTTAAAGAGGTAACCGAATCGAGATCTTAAAAGGTGACGTACCTTTTAGCGAGTGAAGTCTTGTCCGGTCAAGCGGGCTTTTATTGAAGTTGCCTTCTGTGTTGCCCATGGCAAGCTCCTCCTTTGTGAAGAACTGCTTCAGCAACCTGATAGCACATCTGTCGCGTTCTGATTCAGCATCCAGGGCCTCGCGGACTCTGTGGACCTTTCTCGGTGTGACGCAGCTCCTAATAAGTTCGTCTGTTACCACACCAGTTACATGAACGGGACTGTCGGAAACAAGATACTCAGACACATATCTAATAGCTGGACTGCTGGATGCATGACGCTCTGACAATTGTGGAACGACTGGACTGCAGGTTGTACTGAAAGACTCGCTTAATGTGCAGAGTGCATTGGTATCGATCGTAGATATATCTGTAAGGGTCTCCTCCATCATCTCAACAGCGGGTAACGTACTGTCATTGAACTATAGGGAACGAAAAAGAAAAGAGAAGTAAGTAAAAGAGGCTGAAACATATATTTCTTTCCGACAGGATTTTCTACTTACTCTATTCTAATTATAAACACTATCAAGAAAACAGTTTCAATGCATAACACAGCATTATTTAACAAAACTGAACAATTATGTTCAATTGATGCAAAAACACGTTTTGGCTTAAAAAGATAACAATTAGCGAGTAATAGCCCTGTATTTAAATATGTTAAAATTTCTTGTTAAAACTCGAACTCAAGAAAATGAAAACCCAGAAGTACATCCACTTTATGAGGCAATAATCTTACTCAAGTAAGCTAGTATTACTATTATTATAGTAACAAAGTAACATAAGTTGAAACTATTTCTAATAAGCAATGCTTACATTTACAAGAGGAGTCAGATCTGAGTTGACCGGTACTGCTTCAAGGCAATCCAGACGCTCCCCGATTCTTTCTAGTGCCGCAGTCATTTTATTCTGCATCAATGCAATTGTCTCTTCTACCTTTTCCACAGCCTGCAAGAACAAAGGGCAGAATTCAATTTAAACCAGTATCAACTTGATTGATAGCCTGCGTCACAGACCATCAAAACAGCCTGGAACTACTAATGGTCTAGACGATACGTGGGCCGGCTGCAACGCAGCCTCAATTGATAAATTGTGAACATGGAATCTTGACTTACGAACTCGAAAGTTGAAAAAACTCGAATGTTTAAGTGCGAAATAGAATATTAAAAATTGTAAACTTGATTTGGGGAGAACTACACACTCACCTTGAATAACCTTTTGTCCCTTTCTTGCAGTTCCCTCTTCAGTAGGCTAAGTTCGTCAGATTGTTGCAGTGTCGGCGAAGTCTGGGTAGCCACGTTGATCGCGAGCGTTTTGGCACCTGGAGTTTGTGTGGCGACGTTGTCATTCCTTTTTGTCGGAGTGTTCGTGGTCAGGCTCTCGACATCGGCAGTCTTGGGTTTCTTTGCGGCATGATTAACACTCCAAATCGCCTCTCGTTTCTGCTGTTCCGCCAAGAATAAAGCATATGGGTCTGTGACAGGCACATTCACCTCTGTCTGGGTTGGCATTTGACTAACAGGATTCTGCTAGTTGTTCTGCTGGGAATGTTTGTTCACGATTGTTTGTCCTGCGTAAATAAAAGAACATGCCATTAGAACTGCCTCAAAGAAAGGGAATGTGGTTCTCAGTTAATTGATCGAAGTAAGCGGTGACTTTTAAGAGTATTTACCTTTCTTTGATTTTCTGGATTCCCATTTTTCGCATACTTCGGCGTCATACCATCGCGAACCAAACTTCATTTTGACAGCGTCTCCAGGTTCGAGAGCAGACAGTTCTTTTCCGTTACCGTCATTTTCATTCAGTTTCAAGTCTCTTCTTTCAGGCCAGTGCGGTCGGTCTCTCCATTGGCAATTAGTTTTCCAAATCACTTTAACTTTGTCGTTAAGAGACATGTTTTTTGATGATCAACTGATAAAGTGTTTGTAGTGACTGTTGAATTGAATTGGTGATGAGTTCGTAATATATGAAGCCATTGGACCTCTGAGGGAACAGATGCAAAATTTTTTTTTCTACTTTATCTAGGATCGAAATGCACCAATCAACAAGAACTAGCGCGCGTCTAGAATATTAATGAGTTACCAATCATTACGTTTGAGCACTAACAGTAGTAACAGTCGGAGAGTCTTCTAGAAGAAACAACTTAATGATAAATAAAAAACAACACATTTTACAACAAAATAAGATATCAACAAGAAAAGAGCGCGATGTTGTGTTTCGTTAAGAGAAAATGATTTAATGATATGAAAACTTTATTACCGTGTCATGATTATCACTGAGATGTTGGAAGATCGCAGGATCTGAAACGCCTGCTGTTGTTGTTACTTTTAACCTGAAAACTAGCACGTGTTTCAAAACGGATTTACCAGCTGTTAATTACTATAGTCGCAGCCTTTACGCGCTATAGTTTTTAACACACAAACTTTATTCTAGAACTTCTACAACTGGTGCAGGGAAACAAGTGAACCGATGTGAAGTATAACGAAGTACAGCGAAGTATAGCGAAGTATAGCGAAGTATAGCGGTACTGAAAAATAACAATTAAACAAATACAAAGTCAAGATAAAACAACCTACAAACTGAACGAAAGCAATAAGGCAATCTAGAAATGCGAATGAAACAAACGAGATACTTACAAGACGATAGCGAGATAAGGACGAAAAACTAGGACGAGCAAAACCCAAACATTAAACTGTAAACCGGACCAAGCGCAGCTAAACGAAGAACTGACGCGAAAAATTACAATAAAAGCTAAATATACGATATGCAGAAAAATCCTAACACGAAGGACAAAGCTACGCGAACAATGAAAAACTAATTAACCAAACAACAGCACTAAAGGCGCGAACACGAAAATAACTAAGAACGCGGCGAACATAAAAATACTATAAAGGTAACGGAAAACATTCCTGGCGCTTACAATTACCATTGACACGTAAGCATGGTAAGATATCCGCGCGCAGTTAGGGAAGGAAAACTTGGCCAATGTGGTTTTGACGCGCATTATGAAAAAGTGTGAAAGGCTTGCTTGTCTTCAAAATTTAAGTAAGTTTCTTCTTTGTAGTGTTAGTAATGATGCATAAAGCATGCCTTTTTCGCTGCGCTGGATGCTTATTTTGCCTGTATAACTGGCACTTTTGTTTATAGTGACCGCGCA